TCAAAGACACTTGGGTCCTCCGGACATGAAGTCTCTCCATGGCCCAAACACATCCTTGACACTGATCTCCACTCTGTTATGGCTCGGAAAGGCAGATTCGATAGCTTGGTCCAAAGGCTGTGAAGCGCAATTCATGCGGCTGAGGTAGTCAGCTTCCACATTACGCGCCCCGGCGATGTGCGAAAGTGAGAGGTCGCATTTCATCCGCAGACAGGCAAAGCAAAGCGTGACCAGCGCACAGCACATCGGTGGCTTGCTGGCCAAACCTTTGGAAACCGATGCCACCACTCCCATGTTGTCACTGTATTGTCGCAGCACCGCCCGGTACGCACATGGCAGGCTGCAGATTTTGGCCCGTGTGATCATGAGTGCCAGTTGAGCCACCAGCTCAAGGGAACCAATGCCAGCCTGCATACGCTGAGGCCACATCCACTCCTCAGGAATATCCTCACGCTTGACTCCCAAATGAAACCAATGGCGCGTACCAGACTCTGCTTGAAACCAGCCGCCAATTCCGGCTAGACAGCTACTAGCCCAAGCATCCGCAAAACCATTGAGGACCTCATGAGAATTTGCCCAACCAAACGAGTTCTGGCTGAAGAAGTGCTTGAGAATTCGAATGCTGGACAAGCAAGCCGCGTCCAGATTTGTAGTGGGGCCCCAGGAGTGGAAGCGCAACCAGCACTTCCCATTTTTGAGCTTCGGTTGCTTCAGCGCGGCATCCAAGCATTCCCGGCTCACAGACCGACCTCCAACTTCACGCAGCAACCAACCAGCCTGCACATCCGAGCCCTGAGCCGACTTACACACACGTAAAGAGGTCCTGTCAAGGAGTCCAGCGAGCTCTGCTAATTGCCCCGGGTGTAAAAGCTGCAGTTTTCCAGTTGGACGATGAAGCGCGGTGAAAAGAGGGGCCAGAAAAGCGCGCAGAGGCAGCCTAATCTGGGTAGCCCAGATAAGCAGGCCCAAAATCCCGGACAGTTCTTTCCTCCCAATCCTTTTCGGATGCTGCAGCCACCAGTTCAAGGCAGCCAAAATCCGTGTCTTTTTGCATTCCAAAATTTTGGCTTTGAAGACACCGTCCACACTTAGAGCCCAGCCCAGATACTCCAACGACAAACCAAGACGCAGCTTTCTCCAAGACAGTGGCACATTGAGAACCTGCGCAAGAGCGATTAAGATCGCTATCAAGGGCAAGCACGCGTGACGTGGTAGTAGAAACAGGAAATCATCCACGTACACGACGCCAACGTGCGGATGGCGGAGAACGAAGTGGAATATCCTCGAGCACCGAGCCTGCTCCACCAATACGCGGACCACTTCGCACCGAAGTGGTTCACCAGGTACGCGAAAAGAACTGATTCAAGATGTGAAATACTGCAAAACCCACATCTTCCGGTGCAGTACGCAAGGACTTGTGCGCGCTCTTGACATCCATGCTGAACAAAACCCAATCCTCAGCCCTGGGCTCGGGAGTCTCGCGTAACCCCTTGCTGCGCAACCAAGCTGCGAACCTGCACAGAGATTCATTGACATGAAAAAGACTCGGAACCTCACCACGCTCTTCAAACTTCGCAGCTGGACTGGCGCCCGAGGCCTTAGAGTCCCCAATTAGCCTGTCATCCTTGCCATGACGCGTAACCAAGCCCAGTTTGCCGATTGCCAAAGAACCCTCGGGACCTAGAGGACGAAACGCACTCTAAAAAGACCCCGGTGTATATATATATATATATATCATGATGGAAAATAACAGATATTTCGTTCTTTCACAATATATATATATATATATATATATATATATATGTAAATATATATATATATATATATATATATCATATCATATCATATAATATCATATCATATCATATAATATCATATCATATCATATCATATCATATCATATCATATCATATCATATCATATCATATCATATCATGATGGAAAATAACAGACATTTCGTTCTTTCACAATATAAATATAAACATAAATATATATGTGTGTATATATATATCATACCATATCATGATGGAAAATAACAGACATTTCGTTCTTTCACAATCCGTGACTTGTCAATAGGGAAAATAAAGTGCATTTCAAATCCTCATAATTATGTTAGGTCGTACTAGAGGAAATTAAGAAACATTCAGCGCCGCACATTTTCACTAGTTACCTTTCGGGGAATTATAAGACACATTTCGTCCTCTAGGGAAAACGAGCTTCTTCCTCACTGCGTGCGCCGGGGATGTGCTCCATGTAGCCATCCGCCACCTCCTTGTGCACTAACTCGAGCACCTTGTTCTCTTCTTTTAACGCTGACGCATGATTGCAATCGCAGAGGTGCAGTTCAGGGGAGGCATCCGTGAATTCGTCGTCGTCTACCCCATCACATCTTGGCCACACCCCCGAAGCTCGAACTGGTGCCCGTACACCTGTAGGCGCTCCACGAGACAAAACTGCCGGCAGATTCGAATCCACGTCTCCCAAAGTCAAGGCAATGGACTGTAGCAAGTTGAACTTATAAGGGGTCTTATCGAACGAAGCCAGGGCCCAATCCGTATCCACGCCCAGAGATTTGCAAACAGCGTGTCTCATGACCACCACTTCCTCGTCTGAGAAGACGGGATCGTCAGAGGGCTCGCCCAGGCGAGACTGCAAACGTGCGCAAGTATCGCTCGGCATTGAACAGTAGATGGCCTTTCTCACACCGCCCAAGGGATCCGCCAGCGCTTCTGGCGGAGGCAACTGCCAGTCCGTTGTGCTGCATACGCCCCCGCCGTCTTTCAGGAGGATCTGGTGATATGCAACGCAATCCTTTTCGGACGCCTCCCCACGCGGCAAAGGCACAGGACTGGCAGCAACTTGGCGCGGTTCTAGCAAAGGGGCGGACACCGCTGGCTCACACGTGACCTCGCCCACACCAGGATCCACAACGCGGGCGAGGAGCTGTCCCTACTCTGTGGCCAACTTGGGGCACTCAGCTCTGCCGTGCCCGGACAGCCCACAGTTCTCGCAAGCATGTTCAAACTTGCAATCCTCGCCTCGCCGAACTTGCACTTCCCTACTTGGAAAGCATGGCATGTGCCCTTGAACTTGCCGTCCGCATCGCGTTTTTTCAAGGCAGCGGTCCCACCTTGTCCCCATTTGCCGCCGCCTTTGGACGCCAAGCGATCACGCAACTGCTGCTTGCCTCCTTTGCCTTTTCCTTTCACAGATGCCGAGGGACGCGGGCGTGGCTGCAGCCAAAAGTGCAACGAGTTGCGTAACACAAGAACCTCATGCAGAGCCTGGTCCAGAGTGAACTTCTTGGCCAACAGTGCATTCAGCTCCCTGCAAAGTTCAATGTCTGCTGCCTCGGCTTCGGCCAATGAGGGAGCACGCAAGCCGGTGTCTGGGCCACCTCCCCTGGTGTAAAAGTCCAAGAACTTGCTTACTAGCTTCTTAGAGGAGGACAGATGGCACCAGCCCGTCAAGGCCCAAGCGATGCTGCGAGTCATCAGCAGCCGTTGCACACCGAACGGGGACGCAGAAGGGTCACACTCCAGCATATCCCACTGGCCCGAGGCTTCAGAAAGCAGGCTCAGGAAAGATTTCTCTTTCTTTTGCACGCCCTGCTTGAGGTTATCGCATTGAGCTTCGGTCAGCAACTGCTTCCAAGGAATGAAGCGCAAGTCACCTTGTGACTTCTGCTGGTTTACCAGCTGGATCAACTGCTTACAAGGACGGTGTTGAACCTCCAGCACCTCGCTTGGGTAGTTCTCCTCGAACTTGCTCCAGAGATTGCTGATTTCATCAGCAGAAAGTTTGCTTCCAAGGGCGCCAGGCCAAGAGAGCAAGGCGGCGGTCGACAATGAGTCAGCACCACCTTCGGCAAGCTTCTGCGGCAGAGCTAGCTGCATATCGGTAGAAGCTTCCTTGTGTTCCCAGAGCTCGCGGAGCCAGTCAGCCACAGGATGGATTTCCCAATCTCCGAGCGCCAATACTCCACATGGTTGGTCCCGGGTAAGCACGGCTTCGATGAATTTCTCCAACACCTCCTCATTGCGGAAAGCTTTGGTGTAGGAGGCCTTGGACACATATCCCTTGGCAATGAGCAGCTTGGCAACCGCCGCGGGCAAGCCCACATCATCCATGCACCTCTGCCAAGCCTCCTGAGCCATGTCGCAGCAAACAGAAGAGAGTACAAGTGACAAGGCCGTGCCGACACCGCACGATGTAACTGGCAAGAAGTTCCCGAGAAGTTCAGCACGCTGAACCCCCAAACATGCATGCACACACAGCGCACAACCAACGGAAACTCCGCAAACGCCGCAGCGTGCACACAGCGCACTCGGCGCTCCCTTGCGCTCTACGCAGGTGCCAAGTGCCCGATGCACCCACCCGAGCGCTGCATGTAACGACATGCGCAACCCTGTGCAAACCTTGCACTGCGCTCTCCAAAGGTGCCAAGTGCCCGATGCACCCACCCGGAGCACTGCATGTAACGACATGCACAACTACGCAAGACCCTGCGTAGACTTACGCCGCATCGCACTGCTTCACTGTTCCAAGTGCCCGAAGCACCCACACCCGCACAGCATGAACGACATGCAGAGCCCCTATAAGCACACTTGTCACTCCAAGCTGAGGCCCAAGCCATACCGCATGCTAAACTGCACACGAGCCTCGGCGTGCCGGCCCAGACTCAAGCGAGCGTTGGCTCAGCAATACTCACACAATTGCTAGGGCCGGGGAGCAAGCCATATGGGAGCATGGAACACGGTTCGCCCTTCCTTCCAGGGGATGCTCTGTCAGCACCTGCCAGTTTGGCTCTGTCACTGCTCGGCGCGGCGCACATGCACGTCCATAGCTGCCATCTTCTAGGAGCACCGCCGCGTGGAAGCAAAGAGACAAGTTATTCAGCAAGAACACTCCCTGCACCACGTTAGCAACCGCCTCGTCGGCGCTGGCGCAATCATCGCTGCTACTGGAGGAGCTGGAAGAATCCACAGACTCGTCGTCAGACTCCGAATCTGTATCGTCGTGTGAAGCACGAGCTGCCCGGAAAAGACGCAAGCCTGGCACGGTCTCCTGTAACTCCGACGGCTTTACTGCGAGCGGCAGCTCAGCAACGGGGTGGCGACCTCCACGACCTTGAGCTGCCAATGGCTGCCACCCTTGTTTGACACACGTGAGAGTGGTTAACTGCGCACGCAAGGCCTGGATGACATCGTCGCGACTGTACTTTTCTACCATGGCCTCGCCAGGACACCTTGCTCGATGATGGCCCCAAATGCGTCGAGCTTCGCTACGAATCTCCAGCTGCACTGCCCAGGATAACGGCGTGGCCTTTAACGAATGCAAGGTGAAGTCAGCAACAACGTCAGGCGGCATTCCGCCAACCTGGACAAGCAACCTGCGCATCTGCCCTAAAACGAAAGTATATGAACCCCGAGACCCCGAAGGACCGGGGATCAAAAAGTCTCCATGTTGCATGTTCCGGAGCAGGAAGTCGACTGCATGTCCCCAGTCTTCATATATGCCCAGGCATAAACACCCGAAGGGCATCCCGGACTTTGAGGTTTTGGTTCTCCAACACTGACCACGCAGCACGCCATCCTTCACGCACATGTCTTGTACCAAGACCCTCTGAGCATCGGAGAAGCGGAGGGCCGACCAAAGCATGATCAGGAAAGCTGTAAGCAGCAAGGTGTCAGCGCAACCGCCACGCTTCATGCCGGCGATAATGGCCCTACGAAGTGCGCACTGTCCTGCCGGGTACGGTGTTGGACGCTCCTTTAACGGCAACGTGGGCACAACTTGTGGCGCCGAAACAGGAGCTGGCAGGGGCAGCATCTCTGGCCGGGTTTCCCACTTAGGCCGCTCCAAGCCGACAGGCGCACGCCAGCATCGAGGGACCAATGGCCGGTTCATGACATCCGGTAGCTTGGCCTCCTCCGGGAATGTTACTTCCTTTGGCACCTGCAGCTTTGGCTGTTCCAGCGGCATTGCAGCAGCACACAACAGAAAGCAAAGAAAACGAAATCAACTGGCTGCACAAGCTGTCGACACGCAGCCCAACTCGAACCACACAAACACGATCGGACTGCTGGACAGCTGTGCACATACAACTATACATAGAAGACGTTCGCGCGAGATAGAGAGAGTCGCAGTCACGTGAAATAACTGCGCAACGGGTTTCTGATTTAGGTTTTGTCTGGGCCATGACTCAGGTTTGTCGGGGCACAGGACAATGGCTTCCATAAGGCTTTGACAAGGCTTTGCATCAAGCTTTCTATTGGAGCTTGCAGAATTCAAAACTTGCCTTTAGAGGTGTGCGATGTTGCACTCTGGGTTTAGGCTTTGAAAAGCCGGATTGGGGCTTCTGCGCTTGAACTTTTGGATGGGTTAGGGCAGGTTTTCCGGAGGCAGAAACACCTCCTTATGGTCGACAAGGGCTTTGACAGGGAACCGTGCTGCACAGGCCCTGAAACCTACCATACACCTTTACATTACTGTTGTCACTTCTGTGGCTCTTCCTTGCAGTGTCTGCAGCGCATTTTTCTGTCCTCGACCGGCTCTGCAGCGCGAAGGTCCCATGTTAACTAAATGTTAACATCTGCTGCGTAGACGTCTCTGGATTTGCGTGGAGCGATTAGGAAAGCATGGCACCCGCTAAGACCAGTTGTAAGAGCACCGGAGGGAAACAAGCACCACCCAGCAGGACCCTAAAGTCATTAGTTCCAGACCAAAGTCTTGCCTGTCAGGCTCAGCCTTCGGGGACGGTCCCACCAGCAGGAGCCCTGGCCCTCAACGAGGGCAGAAGCGAGAGAGCCTCTTTTGAAAAGGGAGAGCCTGTTTCTACATCGCGTCCGTCTCCCTGTGCTTCCGCAACTCCGAGAAGAAGATCTGGCGGGCTGAACATCAAAGGGCCTCAGCGGAGTGAGCACACGGAACTGTGAAGCAATACATATACGTATGTACATATTACATACATAAATACATACATACATACATACATATATATATTATGTATATATACATACAACGTATACACGTATGTGTATATATATATATATCCATATTATACACATATGTATGTATATACGTCCATACTATGGTTTATGCATGGTTGATATATCTGTCCGTCTATCCCTCCAGGCATCCATAAGAGCCGGTGCAACATAGGGCCTAAATGATTACCAATACTACTGCTAATGGACAAAATCCTGCATTACCCATTGTAAGGAATATACCATAATTCCCATAGTTTAGAGTCCTTAGGGTCATGCAGGATCTTGTCCATCAACAGTATTTTGGGTGGATTCCTTACAAAATTCATCGCATACCCCAAAACCGTATTGAAATCGGTGAGGCCCTTATGTTGGATCGGAAAGCGGGCGACGAAGAGCAGGTGAGTCCGATCACAAAACAAAACAGCGACAACTCTGCTGCTATGTGTGCGAGCGAGTCAAATTCTTTTGGGGCCGCGGGAAGCACCGGAATATGCAGGCCCCGATGAGTGTTGCGACAAGAGCACCACTGTGACAGTCCCAAGAAAGCAAGAAAACGACGCTGCAACGACTCTCTGAACCGGAACTATTGGAAAGACAAAACACGGCAATTCTATAAGCAAGCATGCATTCAGAAAGAGCTAGTACAGCAAGGCCAGACTACAGCTATGTCCAATGTATCTTCATACCTACAGCAGTACATGTGCACAGTGGCATGTTCATGTGCATCTGTGTGCAAGCGTACACAAATTGTGTCTGAGTTTGTTTCGAAATAGACATAGCAGCATGTATCTCGACTGTCACTGCGTGTGACATGGCTATACCGACCACCAACGTTTATGTGCAAATAAGATTCGGACACCAGCTTTCACGCATACGGCTAACGTGCTGACGTGCTGAACCACTTTGCTACGTCTCCAATTCTGCACTCAGCGTGTCCCATGAGTAGCGGCGAAGATGCGTATTCACTTTGCCACGATAGCGCTCGGGTTCCATGCCCAACTAGTCTCGAAAATGGGGTCCCTCCCTAAACCCTAAATCTTAAACCCTAAACCCAAACCCTGCCTCGTGGATGACGATCGGCATCAGCGCCTCTTCACCGTCCACGGTCAAGCCGAACCGGCCAATCGCTGCCTGTGCACAGGTTTGGGGCTCAGCGTCGGGGCTTTAGGGTTACGAAACCCTACAAAACCCTAAAACAAAACACTAGAATTCGAGGGTACACCCTACAAAACCCTAAATAAAATTTGTGTAGACCCCCTATTAGCCACAACCTGCCAAAAAAAATGACCCTACAAAGCCCCAGCCCTAAACCCTAAGCCCTAAACCCTACAAAGCCCTTTTTGTTCCTCTGCCTAAGGGCAGCCCGGCCTCGAAGCGACGTCCGTGGGACTCCGCCGGCTCCAGGATCTTCATCTCCTCGGGGCTTGTTTCGTTTAGGGGTTAGGGTTTTCAGGGGTTTAGGGGTTTAGGGTTGATAGGGTGGATAGGGTTTAGGGATTAGGGGTTTAGGGATTAGGGGTTTAGGGTTTAGGGGTTTAGGGGTTTAGGGCTTTAGGGGTTTAGGGTTTAGGGATCTTCATCTCCTGAGGGTTGCTTTAAGGTCTTAGAGTTTTAGGGCTTTAGGGTTTTAGGGTTTTTAGGGTTGTAGAGTTTAGGGGTTTAGGGTTTAAGGAATTAGGGGTTTAGAGTTTAGGGGTTTAGCCAATGTAGGAACCCGATTAAGAAACATGAGCCTTTATTAGGGTTCCTTATATGAATCCTACTATATTGGGGGTTACAGGCCCAGGCTTTCTTAATCATGTTCCTACATTACACTAGAGTCAGGGTTGGAGTGTTTTAGGGTATTTAGGCTTTTAGGGTTTTGGGGTTTCGGGGTTTAGGGTTTAAGGCTTAGGATGGTTTAGGGCCGGAGGGGTTACTGCAGGGAGTGAATGAGAGCTGTGAGGTCTAGAGTTAAGGGTTACTTCAGGGGGTTACTAGGAGGGTTACGGTAAGGGTTGTCCAGGGGCTTTATAACATTTTGTTGCAAGAAGCAGGATGCTTTAAACTATCGGGGGCCTCAAAAGGTGGGATGAAGGTAGGTGGGGTATTCCCAAATAAGAGTCCTTATATAAGGGATCCTTAATCCCACCTACCTTCATCCCACCTTGCGAGGCCTCCGAAAC